GAAATAAACAACCAAACAGAATCATACCATCCCCATCAAAACCCATCTATATCTAGCTGCTTTTTTTTTTTTTTTTTTTTTTTAGATGGAGTCTTGCTCTGCCACCCAGGCTGAAGTGCAATGGCACGATCTCGGCTCACAGCAAACTCCACCTCCTGGGTTCAAGTGACTCTCCTATCTCAGCCTCCTCGGTAGCTGGGACTACAGGCATGTGCCACCACATCCGGCTAATTTTGTTGTATTTTTGGTAGAGATGGGGTTTCACCATGCCGGCCAGGCTGGTCTCAAACTCCTGACCTCAAATGATCCACCCACCTCGGCCTCCCAAAGTGCTAGGATTACAGACGTGAGCCACCGTGCCCGGCCAAGCCCATTTATATTTAGAAAGGGTATGTAGCAGAATCAAAAATGTGATTCAAATTTTACATAGGCTGTCTTGAAATAAATATTTACCAAACATGAACATATCACAGTCTAGAAAAGAGCAGACTTTTAAATCTGTGAATTACACACAATAGTCTTTTGGTTTTTTGTTTTGTTTTTCAGAGTACCTACTTTCCAAAAGGTCTACTACAGCTCCAGGATCTACTGCACTTTCAAATACCTGCAGAGAAAAATGGAGAAAATAAATTTTCAAAGTTGTATTAATAAGTGCATATAGAAACTGTAAATGCCAGGTGCAGTAGCTCACACCTGTAATCCTAGCACTTTGGGAGGCCAAGGTGGGTGTATTGCTTCAGCTCAGGAGTTTGAGACCAGCAACATGGTGAAATCCTCTCTCTACAAAAAATACAAAAGATAGCTTGGCTTGGTGGCTTTTGCCTGTATTCCCAGCTACTTGCAGGGCTGAGGCTGGAGGATCATTTGAGCCCAGGAGATAGAGGTTGCAGTGAGCTAAGATGGCATCACCACATTCCAGCATGGGAGAAACAGTGAGACCCTGAGAAAGAAAAGAAAAGAAAAGAGAAGAAAAGAGAAGAGAAGAAAAAGAAAGAGAGAGAGAGAGAGAGAGAGAGAGAGAGAAAGAAAGAAAGAAAGAAAGAAAGAAAGAAAGAAAGAAAGAGAGAGAAAGAGAGAGAGAGAGAGAAAGAGAGAGAGAGAGAAGGAAGGAAGGAAGGAAGGAAAGAAAGAGAGAGGAAGGGTAAATTAAATTCTTCCAAGTAATTAACATATGTGAAATCCAGTCACATAACATTTTAGAACTCAGCAGATGTACCTTTAATAAGTGTCTGATTAAAAGTTCAACAAGTGATTATAGAATAAATGAAGGTTAACACAACAATAAGTGCAAAAAAATCTCAATTAGATAAATCTACCACATGCTAAAAATGTCATCAACTTGACCTAGCTCTACTGTTTGTTGCTGAAAGCCCATCTTGAATCAACCTCAAAGAGTCTTGTTTGACTACCTAGCAAAACATTCTGTATACAACAGATACTCATTAAATGTTAACTGAATGAATGGTTTCTCTTCCCAAGCAATTGGTTGTGCTGAAAAGGAACATAAAAAGAAATTTTACCTATGCGTAACACAAAACAAAAGCTAAGTACTAGCAGCTACACTCACATAGAATAAGAAAAGAAAGAAAGGAGAGTCTCAAAAGTTTTAAGTGTATCTTGAAGCACAAGAAAAACATTGTAATATCTGTCTAGCCATTGCCAAATCTTTACATTTTGTTCTTGAAATAAAAGGGCCTGGGATAGGATTGAAATAAAGGTACACCATGCCTTTCCCCCTAAGTTCTAGGCCCTAAGAAAAACAAAACGTTTTCAGCAGAGCTTGATTTCAGGCTTCAAAGTTATGATTTAAATGGTATTTAAACTTAAACAAAAATGAAAGTGTCTCATATAATCAATTTTTGTCCTACTGACTGGATTTATCAAGCAAATGTGGGTAAGTGAGTTTTTTTGCCTAAATTATTTTAATAATCCTTTCGTTTTACCCATTCTTATGGGCTGAATTGTGTCCCCCCAAAAATTCATGGGATGAAGTCTTAAACCCAGTATCTCAGAATATGACCTTAGTTTGCACATAAGGTCACTGCAAATAAAATTACTTAAGTTAGAATAAGGTCATACTGGGATAAGGTAGGCCTCTGATAAGACTGGTGTCCTGAGGAGGGGTGGAAATTTGAGCACAGAAACTGTTTTAAAAAAAAAAGAAAAGAAAAGAAAAAAAACTTTAGGCAAAATTAAATTTATTTGAGCAAGGAACAATTCATAAACTGGGCAGCACTCAGAACTAAAAGAGGTTCAGAGACCTCCACTGCTGCATTATGGACAGCAAGCTTTTACAGGCTGACATGAAAATAAGACAAAGAAAATACATTTAATTGGTTGGAGTAGAAAGACCCTAGTTAGAGATCATTGGCAGTTTCTGATAGGTAAAGTCTCTAGTTAAAGGTTAGCTGGCAATTTCTTATTGGTAAAATCTCCAGTTAGAAGTTCATTGGTGGCATCTGTTTGGTAAAAGTCTATAGTTTTACTGTTTACATTGGGCTTCAGTTTGCTTACGCAGGAATTTAAAGCACTGGAGCCGCCCCAGCCTAATGACTTCCCTCACCCCAGTCTTTTTTAACAGTACACACACAGAGTGAATGCCATGTAAATATTGGAATTACACTGCCACAAGCCAAGGAACTATACCAGAAACTGGGAGAGAGGCCTGGAATAGGTCTTTCCCTAGTGCCTTTAAAAGGAATATGTCCCTGCTGACACTCTGATTTCAAGAATTGTAGCCTCCAGAACAGCAAGACCATGTTTCTGTTGTTTAAGCCACTCCATTTGTGGTACTTCTGTATAGCAGCTCTAAGAAACTAACATCCATATCTAAGGATTTTCTCAAGTATGATCTTGGGGAGTAAATGATCAACATGAACTGCTTGAACAATGGCTCATATATTCTTATGAGTAATTTGTTTACCCAAATGCCTCAGAAAATTCCACTTTGAATTAAACAGATCCAAAGAAGAGAAAATTTTCACCGCCTGCTGAAAGTAGTTGCAGCTAGAGAAGGGAACAGATACAAGGAAGCTAAAACCAACAGGAAGAAAGGAATATGAACCCAAACAACTCATGCAAGAGGACAATTAATTGAGTGAATTTTATAAAATGAAAAAATGGTTCCATGATTTGTTTGACTAGTAATCTCAAATGTACAGCTTTTCAACAGAGCAGAAGTGGCATCTGAAATGTGACTCAGGCTCACTCTTCTCTTTGACAAATCAAGGAGGTTGGAGTTATCTAGTCGTGTGCTTCTATGATTTTCTATCTTTGGGCTTCTTATAAAAATATTTTTAAAGGCTTTTACAGGCCAGACGCAGTGGCTCATGCGGTAATCCCAGCACTTTGGGAGGCTAAGGTGGGCAGATCACTTGAGGCCAGGAGTTTGAGACCAGCCTGACCAACATGGTGAAACCCTGTCTCTATTAAAAATACAAAAATTAGCCTGGTGTGGTGGCAGACGCCTGAACCTGGGAGGCAGACGGTGCAGTGCCCCAAGGTCTTGCCACTGCACTCCAGCCTGGATGGCAGGGCAACACTCTGTCTCCAAAAAAAAAAAAAGAGGCTTCTACAGAGCAAATTCAAAATTGATATAACTAATAAGAAAATTATTGGGGGGGGAGGGGAAGACTGCATTTTTACCACCAACTTTTTACCACTTTTTTTTTTTTTTTTTTTTTTTTTTTTGAGACAGAGTCTGTCTCTGTCTCCCAGGCTGGAGTGCAGTAGCATGATCTCGGCTCACTGCAAGCTCTGCCTCCCGGGTTCATGCCATTCTCCTGCCTCAGCCTCCCAAGTAGCTGGGACTACAGATGCCCACCACCATGCCCGGCTAATTTTTTGTATTTTTAGTAGAGACGGGGCTTCACCGTATTAGCCAGGATGGTCTCCATCTCCCGACCTCGTGATTCGCCTGCCTCGGCCTCCCAAAGTGCTGGGATTACAGGCGTGAGCCACCGTGCCAGGCTCTTTTTTACCACTTCCAACATCTAAATGGGAGAACTGAGTTCCTTTAGATTCTGATTATATGTACCAAGGTTATAGCCATTTATTTCTCTCTTCTTTTATCCAGCCAGTTTGGTACATTCTTCATTTAAATTAATAGGTTGTGATTTATAAAAATATTACATACAATCTTAGCCCTTCAGAAAATTGATCTTCATCTCCTCTCTCAACCTCAGGTTGAAACAGATAGGTCACTTTCTGGGCCTCAATTTCCAGACCTTCAAAAATGACATGCTCTACTCTGTAGCCTTCCTTCTCCCCAGATCTCCCTTAGTGATATTGTTTGGGGCAACATCATTAGACTTATTAAGGTTAAAACTGATTCCATCTCTAAATTCCAAAACAAAAATGTTAAGAGATTGTCAGTGATGACATAGTAATAACATCAATATTCTATGAAATAATTTAGTGGGAAGAGGGCTGGTAATGTTGTGATTATTTATATCACCATGTTATTCACCAGAATGGAATCTAGCTTTTATCACTGTAGCTAAGTAAACCAGGTGTGAGCTGAGGAAACATTAAATCTGAACAGCCTTTTTATTTTGTTACAGGATTTTAATTACAGGATTTAACTAATTTCATTTTTTTCATTATTTTTCTTGGTCTAATACAGTTTTTTCTAAGGTCCACAGTTTATTAATAATCCCTTTCATAAATATAATGCAACTACCTCTAACACCTCCAAAAACAATCAGAAACGCTCTCCTTGCTCTAGTTAAAAAATACCATGGGAGTTCCAAGAATAGGAAACATCAACCGGGGTATTTAGCACTAGATTGACAGAACTTGGCTCAGACCTGCATTACAAAAGCAAGTCTTCCAACTGTGGTTTTGCTTCAAGGCCGACTGCGGTTTTGTACTGTGCTGAAGTGCTTTTGGATAATTTTTTTGAAGGAAATTTACAAAATAATGCTGTAAGACCTGTGTTCTTTATAAGAACTCTTAGGTTACCTTCAGACAACAAAAGCCAATGAGAAAGTCAAGATCACCTTTTCAAATCTCATGCTCTGCTGAATCATAATGGGGAACGCAGAGGGAAAGCTGTTTGTCTCCAGGTACTGATTCAGGAGGTAGACCCCGAGGTACACATCTTGCTTGCCAGGCAGGAACACCCCTGGGCAAGAAATCTTAAAAAGAAAGAAAACAACAAACAAGAGAGAGAAAACAGACTTTCCTTTGTTTTGTTACACGGGGCTCTATTTCTTTTAAGCTCCTACAAACACTGACATTTTCCCCATCACCTCATTCCCTCACCTGTACCTCCCAGCGCCAACGTCCTCCCCTCTGCTCTCCTCACATTGGAAATTCCAATTCCCTCACACGTCTCCACCAGGTGTCACAATCGCGCTCTCGCCGGCTCCTCTCCCCGCCCCTCCAGGATGGTAGTGCGGAAGCGGAAGAGGCTGCAGGGCCGGGAGGCCTCTGTTTAGTCCGGCCTGGTACCGGGGTCCGGGCCGCCATCCGCGATGCCAAGTCCCCGGAGGAGCGTCGAGGGACGGCCGCTGGGTGTCTCCGCTTCGAGCAGCAGCAGCAGCAGCCCCGGCAGCCCAGCCCATGGCGGCGGTGGCGGCGGCAGCAGGTTTGAGTTCCAGTCCCTGCTCAGCAGCCGCGCTACCGGGGTGGACCCCACCTGCGCCCGGCTCCGTGCTTCGGAGAGCCCAGTGCACCGCCGCGGCTCCTTCCCCCTGGCCGCGGCGGGCCCCTCCCAGGCGCCCCCGCCTCCGCTGCCCGAGGAGGACCGCATGGACTTGAATCCGTCCTTCCTGGGCATAGCCCTGCGCTCCCTGCTGGCCATCGACCTGTGGCTGTCCAAGAAGCTGGGGGTGTGCGCGGGAGAGAACTCGTCGTGGGGCAGCGTGCGACCCCTTATGAAGCTGCTGGAGATCTCGGGACATGGCATCCCCTGGCTGCTGGGCACCCTCTACTGCCTGTGCAGGAGCGACAGCTGGGCCGGGCGCGAGGTGCTGATGAACCTGCTCTTCGCCCTGCTGTTGGACCTGCTGCTGGTGGCCTTGATCAAAGGGCTGGTCCGCAGGCGCCGCCCGGCCCACAACCAGATGGACATGTTTGTCACTCTCTCGGTGGACAAGTACTCCTTCCCGTCGGGCCATGCCACAAGGGCTGCCCTGATGTCGAGGTTCATCCTGAACCACCTGGTACTGGCCATTCCACTGAGGGTGCTGGTGGTTCTGTGGGCCTTCGTCTTGGGCCTCTCCAGGGTCATGCTGGGGCGGCACAATGTCACCGACGTGGTTTTTGGCTTTTTTCTGGGCTACATGCAGTACAGCATCGTGGACTATTGCTGGCTCTCACCCCATAATGCTCCGGTCCTCTTTTTACTGTGGAGTCAACGATGACACCATCTCATTGATGATGGCACCAGGAGGTCTGAAGGTTTCCACATTCGATGATGCCAACCTAAACCAGCAGCCATCCCGCTTGTCCCTCTTAGGCATTTCAGGCTTCCTTTGGGATTTCAGGTGTCCCACCATCTTGATGTGCTGCTAGGCTGGAGCACACGCTGGCCATTACTGAACACAGCCATATTAGGGAAAGCAAAAAACCCTCTATTGCATATTTATTCAACAATTGTTTATGTCTCCAGGACAACTGCAAAGAAACCAAGCTGAGGTGGTTATACTGTTGCTGTTAAAAGTTGGTATCAATAAGATTTGTGTTTTGTGGTAATCCCTAAATCAACATACCACTTGTAAACTGAACTTTGAGAAAGAAACATGATGTTCATTCTGTAAATATACATGCAGACAGGCCATGTACTAATCCTAGTCCTTTTCCTGAGGTAGATTTTAAACAGTATTTTTAAAGTTCAAGACATAGGTTTTTCTAGTTTATTCCCTGAAGATCTGTTGCCATAGTTGGGACGATTTCTTCTTAATCCTGATTTTCTTGGTAAGCTTTTTTACTTTATTTTCTCTTTATTATCTCTATCCATATTTGTGGATCGGGTAGTGGGAAAAGAGATTATAATACTTGTCTTTCTCTCCTCTCCCTCCACCCCTCAAAAGATCTTTATGTGTTTCCCAATACTCCCTGTCTTTTAGCATTCAGAGAAAAAGCCAAGAACTTGCTTAAAGAGGAAACACTTAAAAGGTAGGCATATCTAAGATGCTCATAGAAAAGGAAGAATGGGACATAGCCCCATGCTTATTTCTGTTTACAACCTAACATGGCATGAGAGAGGGCAGAGGAACTAAGTTGCTGGGGAGAGTCAGAGGAACTGAAAGTTTGGGAATAGGCTGACCATATATTATGCCAGTGACCAGTATAACAGGAGGGGCCCTGCTGCCAGTCATCTCCACTGAATAAAGAATAATGCTCCTCTATCAGGGTAATAAAATGGGGAAAGAACATCTTCTCAATGCAAGAACGTAAGCTTTCTCGTATATACCTGTATGCTACAGTTTTTCACATGGAATTCCGTTTTCTGAGGTACAGCACATTTTAGGTAACAGTATTTAACTTGAAATTCATCAGGGGAGTCTGCTGCTGTACCAGGCACAAGGTATAATTCCAAAATTTCTGTTTACATTGATCTTTACATTTAAAGCTGTTCATCCATGGTGCCTCCCCAAATCATAAGACCAAAGACCACCAAATGCAGGGTAGACTCTGCTCATTATTCTTTGACCCAGAAAGACTGGAGAAGGCATATGCTTTAAATACTGCTCTACCTGAAAAGAAATCCTTTAAATTACCTATGGAAGTGATGTCCTTAGATAATCTTAATGACTGTTTTGGCATTTATAAATAGAAATTATTATGGACTTTGATCTACCATACTGAGATTCGGATAGGAACCTGGAGAATGGCTGTGATAAGTAGGTTTTGATTGAGTGAAAGCATGAGCTTGTTCAGAGTGAGGGGCACACTGAAAAAGAAACAGCCATGCCTCAAAATCAAATCATTTGCATTCCCACAACATCCTGAACACCGACTACCTCTTCACTTGCTAAAGCAGCTAAACTGTGAAGCTCTAAGTGGGTTGGGTTTGTTGTTTAACCTTAGTGAGATCCTTTGTTTTAACTGCAGCAATATTCAGGCCAGATATTTGGAAGCAAATGATATTTCCTCTTGCGGTGTCCACAAATCTGAATATGAGGGGCATGAAATTAGGCTTACCATCTAGTTCATAATTACAATTTTGGAATTCCCTGTTTTAGTTGCTGGGGCCTGAGTTTTCTGACTTTTAAAGCATAGATCAATTTCACCTGATGTTTTTGAAGCATCCTAAGTACTGTAGAGTAGAAAACTGATTTCTTTGTTAATTGTACACTGAGGAATGCCTTTTAAAAATCAAAATAAAATTAACCAATAATGGTGAATGAAGTGAGATGAAAACTTGCTTAATTTTTGCCTTGATGAGGAGGGAGACTGATTTATCACTTAGCTTCTCAAGAGTTCCTTCATCTTCCTGCACAATTTTTAGAGCTTAAAACTGGTATAGTACGACTTAATATGGTCTAGCCCTATTTGCTGACAGCAAAGTGGGACAAATCCAGGAAATTTTGATCACCTTTCACACCCACATGTATGATGAAACCACAGCATTTGCCAGTTGTATGGAGGCCAACCAGATTCCATGACAATTTCCTGTTAGCATTATGCTTGTAATCATAGCCAGTAGAAAAGCCCCTAGAGGAAAGGTGGCATGACATTCTGTTACTAACTACATGGAAGGATTGGAAAATGGAATCTGAAATAAAAGGGAATGGTAGACGCCCAAGTAGAAACCATGGAGTCACTCTGCAACAGCACCTCACTTAGGAAAGATTTGGTAATTACAAAATATTTGTTGATCGATTGATTTCCCTTTTGGAATTAGCAAGCCAGAGCCATCACTAAGGGGAGAATAGCATAGGAAAATATCTGATTGCTTCATAGAGTTGGCAAATAATCAGGAAGTGATGGAGCTTTTTAAAATTATTCCCTGGTTAAAGAAGTTTAAAATCCGTTCACAAATTTTTATCCAGGAGAAGAAAATAAAATTCTACCTGGACTTAATGCAGGGTTGTTTGAAAATAATTAAAAAAAAAAATCATGATAAAGATAAGAAACATGTTAACTTTAGAACAGGGGAAAAAAAAAAAGGTGGGAACAGGTGGAGCTGAATTAAATGTTAAGAAGTCAGGGAAAACCAATATGGAGAATCTTAAGGACAAAGGTACGATCTGTCCCAGAAGATAATGATGTGTTTGTGGTAAGTGGAGGATGTGGGGGAGGGTTGTTGAAAACCACCTGAGACTATTTAAGAGTCCGACTTGAGGTTAAGGAGGGGGAGTTCATCAATCTCTTACCGCCCGGATCTGCAGCTCCACCACCACCTCCAGAGGCATCGTTCCCTGCGTGGGCGAAAGGACTGGAATGAAAAGATCCTTTTGTGCCGAGCCTTGGACCAATTTTTCTTAGTTTAGCTCAATCCCTAGAGCAAATGTTCCCAGAAGCTTCCCCAGTCCCCATCCCCCTATTCCCCCACCGTCCCCCCCAGCCCAGGTCCCTCCCACCGGGACGGGTCTCTCACACTCGAAGCTGGAGTGCAGGCTTCCAGAAGGCGGAAGCGTGGCGTTGCCAGGGACACTCAAACGCGCAGTCTTCCATCGTGGAACGCGCGCGAGGCCCCAGCGCAGATGCGCGTACTCGCGGTTCGCCGCTTGGAGGCGCGGTCGCTGTCCCCCACGCAGCGCCCCCAACCGGAGAGACTGGCTCTGTCTGGCGTGGTAGGCGGATAGAGAAACGCCGATAATCCCAGATTTCTTTCCATCAGTTCCTGTTATCCCCAATTACCATGTTAAAATGTTTACCGTTTCCATTTTGAAAGTAGAATGAGATCATAGGTCTGTTATAATTTAAATAGTACACATGTTTAGTAGCTGCACGACCCCCAAGCCTAGGAATTTCTGTAACAATTCTCATTTAATATAGTTGTCTGTTCCTAAAAATACTCTTTTGCTTATTAGATGTTATGTTTGCTTCGGAAAACATGGCCACCGTCAATAGCAAACGTGTGCTAATTAGAAACACAAGGTTAATTCTTAAACAGATTTAAAAGTTAGGTACCCCCTGTTAGCAACAATAGAGGTATGTCAGTCTCTCCATAACAGTGTCCAGCCTTTTCTGGGGTTTAGTTTAAGGCAAGCGTTGAGTAGCCCAATGGGTAGTTACTGTATTTGCCATAATCACAGTTACACTGTAAAAACCGTCAGAGGTGGTGGGCAGAGCAAGAGTTCTGAATGGGTAGGGGACATTCACTATATATAATAGACAAAAATGAAGGAAAGGAGCAGGTAGTGGCTCCTTCTAGCAATCCAAAAAATCTAGGAAGGCCAATGCTGTCTCTGAAAAAAAATTAAAAACCCTAAATTGTGTTCAGTCATTTATTACCAGTATTTTGCATTAGAGAGTTATACAATTGGATATAGTGCAGAAGGATGGTCAAGACAAGATTAGGTATTAATTTTGGTAACTGAAGTTTATTTCCCTGGAAGGGAAAAACTTGGTGTGATAAAGAAGGGCATATTGTGTCCTTATCCAGTTCCTAGTGCTGTGTCTCTCTGCATACCAAGAGATACAGGTGGGCATCTAGCTACCTATAGTGTCCAGATCATTGATTTGTCACTCACAACTTGCTGACACCCCGAGTGATGTGGGACGGGACCTGTGATGATCCTAACAGGTAGGTCACCAACACCAATGCTAAGAAATCAAGGAGAGTGACAAACAGAACAAATTAATAAATAGCCAGAGTTGTATTGGGAGAGAAGAATCAGTCTTTATTAAGGATCTGCAAAGTGCTAGGGCCATTGCATATGCTAATTCATCTCATCCCTATAATAACTCTATCAGGGAGATATTATCCCTATTTTACGATGCAGAATCTGAAGCTAGATAGCCTTTTACTAAAAGCCACAGACCTAATAAGGGAGCAGCCACATTTGAATCCAGGTGTGCCCTACCACATCACTGGGTCTGCAACATAGACATCCTGTTGATCTCCAGAGACACAATGTTCCATCATATGCTCTTCTTAGTCTTAACTCTTGATCTAACTGGTCTCTCCTTGCTTGGCTGCTAGGGCACAGCTCTCTTCTGGTTTCCCTCCAACTTTCTGGCCATTCTTTATTTGTCTGTTTATCCTCCTCTGTCTGGCTAAGCAATGTTTCTAGGTCCTTTCCTTTCCTCACTCTGTACCCTTTACTTAGAGTGTCATCCATTGCAGGTACTGATTAACACATGTACACAGATTTACATACCCCACCAAGACCTCTCTTCTGCTGCCCCTGACAAGGTGGAATCTCAATATCATATCTTATATCATACATATATGTGTCTCCTCTTTGTAGCAACTGCCATAATAGCAGTTCTACATTTGTTCCTGTGACTGTTGATTACTATTTGTCTCCATAATCTATAAACTCTGCATGGCTAAGTGTTTATACCCTAAATAGGATAGAAGATAATAAATATTTTTGAATATTAAATGCAGAGATGGTCAAGCCAATCTGTGGGGGTTAATGTACATGGGTAAAGAGAGGTCCCATCACATGGGGTAAAAGAAATCTGCAGAATTAGAAAGGACCAGGCACAGCTACTTCTGCTGATCTTCTATGGTGATATTAAATGAGTTGATAGGGATACTTCACACTCTCCTAATTGTCCCCACCATGGTTACCTGAGGCTCTCAGCTGCTGTGGAGATGTGGATACCCAATGCCTCTCACTCATCTTGCAAAGTAATTTATCACTGAGGCTGTCCACCTCTGCAGGGGGCCAACAAAGCCTTTTAAGGATTGGACTGTCACCACTACAAGAGAAAGGCTTTGTTAACTGGGTAGGTACCTCTTGGTGGCAGCAAACAGATTTCAATGAACAACCTCTGTTTCCAGAGAGTGTCTGCAGTGCAGCTTGGCCAGTAGTGACATCAGCATTGCAGAAGTGATACAGCAGCACATCCTGTTCACATCCTGGCCCCAGACAAGAAAATGAAACATGCCCCAAATGGGGATTTTCCAAAGAGTAAATTAACAAAGAACAAGAATATGGCAGATAATTATGGCTCAGATTTTTTTAACTAAAAAAATTAATTATAAGACACAAAAATCATAAATATTTCAAATAATAAGTATATTCATATGAAAGGAAAAAACTATTAAAGAGACAGCACTAATGGGAAGGGTATGGGAAAACACATTGATGGGAGTGTAAATACATACAATGTATTCGTTTTCTATGGCTACTTAACAAATTTAAGGGCTTAAAGCAATACGAATTTATTATTTAATTTTGTGAGAAGTCCAACACAGATCTCACTGGGTTAAAATAAAGGTGCCAGCAGGGCTACATTCCTTGCCTTTTCTGTTTCCTTGCTTTTCCAGAGGTTGCTCATATTCCCTTGGCTTAATGTTCTCTTCTTTCATGTTCAAAACTGGCTACATAGAGCCAAGTCCTTCTCATGCTGCCATCTCTCTGGTTCTCCCTTTCTTTCTTTTTTGTGTTTTTTTTTTTTTTTTTTT